ATTGACTGTTGCCCCTGCGAGATGTTGGCCGACACCGGCGCTAGGGCTAGTTTGGTCGACAAACGCGTGTTGAAACGACTCGGAAGGGCTTCCGAGCCGCTTCGACCATACACGGGAAGTTTAGATGGCGTGACGGGCCATGGAGTTCGCGTAAGTGGCGTAATCGACCTCCCTGTGACTCTGGGAACGCTGGAGAAGACGCTCCCTTTCGTAGTGACCGACCGTTTGTTCGTGGACGCTATTCTTGGAACGGATACGCTGCGAGCGTTCCGAGCGGTGATCGACTTGGAGGAACAAACTATGACGCTAAAAGAGACCTCCCACTGGGCGAGACAAGGATCGAAGAGACCTTCGCAGCCACAGTATCGTCGATGGTCCGTCTGAAGCCCGATAGCCAAGCGTTAATAAGGTCGAGCGTCAGAGGAGCAATGAAGGGTCAGTCCGTCGTTTTAGTGGAGGGCGTTCCCGGATCTAATTAGTCCCTACAAGTCGCCAGGACGCTGTGCACGGTGTCTGAAGGCTCTGTACTAGTCGAAGTCTGTAACGCGTCGACAGAGGAGGTCGAGATTAAGTCGGGAACCTAGGTCGCCTCCGTGACGATCGTTCCAGAGTCTGCTTTTGTGGCGAGCGTTCCCGAATCTGACGGAGCGCGGGAGAGCCTCGATGATGTCCTAAGTCGTTCGACTGGGCACGCTACTGGCCCGTCGGGAACAATTGAGGCCGAGATGGCCTCAGCCACGAACGACAAGGACGAGGACGATTTCGTGGTGGACTTCCAGGACTCTTCGCTTGGGGCGGAGCAGAGGCGTTTCTTTGCTGAAATGCTGAAGGGCACGAGGGACCTCTTCGTCGAGACCTCCAAGAAACCCGGACGGACAGAGCTTTTACAGTTCCACATCGACACGGGAACGCACACACCTATCAAGCAGCCTCCTTACCAAGTGTCTAAGGCAGAGGGCGACGTGATGGAATCCGAAACCTAGGAGTATCTCGACTTGGGCCTAATACGGCCCTCGACTAGCCTTTGGGCCAGTCCTGTATTGATGATACGCAAGCCGGATGGAGGAATCCGGTTTTGCATCGACTACCGAAAGCTGAACGCTGTCACGGTAAAGGACAGCTACCCGATGCCGTTAATCGACGACATCCTATACGTGCTTGGGAACGCTAAGCTTTTCTCGACTATGGATATTGCGTCAGGATACTGGAACGCTCCCATGGATCCTGGTAGTGTGGAGAAGACAGCTTTCACGAGCAAATTTGGGCTGTACGAATGGCTAGTCATGACTTTCGGGCTATGTAATGCTGTCCCTGCGTTCGAACGACTTATGGAGAGCGTGCTGGTTGATTTGAAGTGGCGAACGTGTCTGGTTTACCTAGATGATTGTGTCGTGTTCAGCGAGGACTTTCCGACCCATCTGATTCGAGTGCGTCAGGTTTTGGAACGCTTTCGAGCAGCTGGCTTCATACTGAAGATGAAGAAGTGTCATTGGGGACGGGATCAGGTGGCGTTTCTAGGCCATATTGTGACCCCTACTGGAATATTGCCCAACCCGAAGAAAGCGAAAGCAGTGATGAACATAGAGAGACCTCATAACTTGCATACGGTGCGAGCGTTCCTCGACTTGACTAGCTACTTTAGGCGTTATATACCCGGCTTCGCGGCGATCGCTGCTCCGTTGGAACGTTTAAAGCAGAAGGAGGTAGAGTTCCGATGGAACGACGACTTCGAGACCGCGTTCCGTCAGCTGCAACGCGCTCTGGTGAAGCCCCCTATCCTCGTTTATCCGGACTTCAAGAAAAGGTTCAAACTTTACGTGGACTCTTCTCACTTAGCGGTTGAAGCGTGCCTCATGAAGGAGATCGATAGGCGTGACAGAGCTATCGCCTTTGCGAGTAAGATGCTGGTGGGATCTCAGAGGAATTGGATTAACAAGACAAGTGGCTCAACGGAGATAGAATGCTGGGGAATAGTGTGGGCTACGCGTAAATTTCGTTGCTACCTGGATCATGCGGAATTTGACTTGTACACTGATCATCAAGCTCTAACGTGGATATTTGGAGAAGAAACCCGAACGTCCAACGCTAAGTTGGCAAGGTGGGCGATGGAGTTATCACAGTTAAGATTCAAGGTATAGCATAAACCTGGGACGTCTAGAGGCCATGCTGATAATTTGTCGAGGCTGTATCACCGACCTGATGTCTCGGTGGTAAGTGTCATTCGAATGACTGATCTCCTGAACGACGGAGACGACACTCCTCCTGCTCAAGACGGAACGGTAACTCCTCTTGGAACGCTGGAGACTAACACGGGCGACGGTCTAGTCCAAGTCGGGGATCAGACTGGAACGGCTGCTCCCGCGGATGACGTTACTGAACCTGCGGTGGTGACGGAGCCTCTAACGCAAGTGGAGCAAGAAGAAGACTTGCAGGAGGGAGCCCCGCTTACCAATTCCTCGCCCATCGACGTTTTTGGTCTGGATTACGACAAGTTTGTGGAAGAGCAGGAACGCGTGCCATGGATGCGAGCACTGAGAGCGCTCCTGAAGGACGGAACGTTAGCAATCGACCCACAACTTCGAGTGACAGTGTTGAAGATGTCTCGGCACTACCTGATTCGCAATGGCGTCCTGATGCGTCTGGTGCACCTGGGAGAGCGCGCTGGTCCCGCTAGGACTATCAGCGCTCCTGCCGTTTCGCTCTTCTTCATAGTGACTGTCTTACACTACTGCCACGCCGACATCTTCTCCGCTCACCTTGGCAAGACGAAGACCGCAGACAAATTCCGAAGACATGCGTACTGGCACGGCTGGCAAAAAGACGTAGCCGAGTACGTGCGAGAGTGCTCGATATGTAATGGTGGAAAGGGCCGTAGGCCCTGGAGAGCGGAACTCATGCAGCGAATGCCGATTCAGGACCTGTCCGGACCGTTCTCGTTGCTGGTTGTGGATGCAATCGGCCCTCTAGTGGTCACACCTAGAGGAAACAAGTATATTTTGGTTTTCGTGGATTATTTCACGCGGTAGGCCGAGGCGTTCGCGGTCGAATCTCTGGACACGATCTCGTTTGTAAATGCGATGATTGAGGGGGTGATCTGTCGTCATGGAGTACCGGAGCGATTCCTAAGTGATCAAGGTTCAAACTTTACGTCGGATCTGGCTAAGCCGCTGTATGAGACCTTGGGCATTAAAGAGTTGTTTGGCGCCGCGTACCACCCACAGACCCAAGGTTTGGTGGAACGCTTCAATGGAGCGCTGATGGGCATGTTGCGCATGTTCGTGAACGAGACGCAGACTGACTGGAACGTGTACTTGCCCAGAGTCTTGTTTGCATACCGGACGGCCTATCACGAAGGTCTAAGCGACACCCCGCTCTTTAGTTTGTACGGTAGAGACCCTGTCTTGCCAATCGACCTAGTCGGGACGAATGAACGGCGCGCCGGAAGTAGCAAAGACTGGAAGAGCAATGAAGTCGCTGTTTACAGGCGTAAATTGTACAGTTCGATGCGTGACGCTCGACGACTCGTGGAACGTCAACTGCTCAAGGCCCAGGACCGACATGAGAAACAACTAGAAACCCAAGTGAAGGTCACGTATGAGGAAGGTGAGGCCGTTTGGGTGTATCACTTTTTCAGAGCTCGAGTTGGGGAACGCAAGACGAAGAAGTTGGCGTTCTCTTGGCACGGTCCGTACCGTATTGTCGGCCAAGTCGGGGAGAACGCCTCCAAGGTTGCAATTCCCTCACACCCCAGTAGAGTCGTCACTGTAAACGTGAATCGCCTGAAGCGCTTTCGTGGTCGGTGGAGTCGGCCGTTCGCAGATGATGTGCCGGAAACGTTAGAAGGGAACGCCGGCGACGAGGATGCACCTTTGCAACTGGAGGGTCTACCGGCTACCAGCTTTGTGGAACGCTTATCTATCGGCGGGGAAGAGACCGCGTTCACCGGGGTCTCCTCTCCGATTGTAGATATAGTTGCGAAGAGAGTCGAGAAGAATGAACTACAGTATTTGGTGCTTACCGCCACGTACGAGACTTTCTGGCTGTCGCGGGCCGCGTTAGCGCCCGATTTTGGCACGCTGATAAGCGCGATTGAGGGCGCCGATCGTCGACGGAAGGGTATGCCGGAGTTAAGAAAGAGCGCCAGGTTGATCGAGGCTAATGCCGACGTCGACGACGCAGAAATCCTGTTCTAACCGGTCCCCCAGTTAGAGAGAGAGGTGCGACTGACAAGTCGCGCCTCTGGGCGTTTAAAGTTTACCTTCTGACGCTGGGTGTGGTGTATTTGTATTTTTGTATTTTGGAACGCTGTCCAAGAGCTACTCTACCTGGTTCGACTATGGAGGCAGCGATTTTGGAACGGTGGGGCGGCGTCCTGTTGGAGGGCGACGACTCTCTTTGACTGTGGATGGCGTGGGCTGAGACCGTCACCGTGGACGTTAGCGTGGAGTGCTACGAGTAAGATTAGCCTTGGGTGGAGGCCGAAGGATTACAAGCGGCAATGTGTTGGTGAGATTGGGCGTGTGAAGAGAGACAATGCGTGCAGACGAGAGAACGTCCGATGGAAAACTAATTGAAAGGATGAGAAATGGAACGCTGAAATTAAGTGTTAGCTACGAGTGGAACGATTATGCGTTTTGGCGTTTTGGAACGCCAAAACTACTTGTGGGCGGACTTGTCGTCGGCTTCGTCTTCATCGGAGCCTTCCTCCTCTTCGTCCTCTGCTTCAGCTTCACCGTCGTCTCCTCCACTGTCTGCGGCTTCATCTTCTTCTTCCCCGGCCTGGGCTTCCTCGACTTCGTCCTCTTCCCCGGCCTGAGCTTCATCTTTTTCGTCTTCTTCTGCGGCCTGGACTTCTTCTTCGTCATCTCCGGGAACGACCGCCTTCTCCTCCTCTTCGTCCGGGTCCTCTTCGAAGTCGGACCAATCTTCGCGGCTGCGTTCCTTGCTGGACGGGAGTCGAGTCGTAGGGAGCTCGTAAGAGCCGTCCGCGATTTTGGGCGTCAGCGTGTCCTGGAGCTTCTTGATCTCCAAGTTGATGATCAACGACTTCCAAGGCTCCTCAGTCCTGGCGCTCGCCCACGACGCTTTCGGCTTCATATTGGACATCAGGTCCCGGCGAACGCGCGCCAGCGCTACGAGCGAAAGCCGGTTTGGCTCGTCCGCTGTCGGGTTCAACGCGTCTGTCGTTTCAAGATGGAGCGCAGATTGTCGTAGCCATACGCGTCAATCTTGGCAGGGTCCAGAGCGCTCTCCACCGTGGCTTGATACCTGTCGCGGTCGTGACTCTCCAAGTACGTCAAACTTTCGGCGCGGTGCCCCACGTAGGTAGAGCCTTCGCGGTTGGAACGCCCAGGCTGCCCGCCCAGCCAAAACATCTCGGGCTGTTGCTCCAACTTCTCGAGAAAGGCGTAAAAACCCCAAGTCTCGATGCAGAAGCTTGTGAAGGCGAGACGGGCCCGAACGGCGCGAAGTTTCCGCTTGCGACGAAGATTCACGGGTTGTCCGGACTCGAGGGGCGCGTGGAACGCCCACTCCCAGAAGGCGCGACGGTGGGCCATCCAAAACCGCCAGTGTGCGCGATAGACGTGCCGGAGCTCGCGTGGGTCGTACCAGTACGGACGACCTGTCCAGGGGTACGCCAAGCACCACGGCTTCTTCTCGGCCGCCTCCGCTTTGACGAGAACTGCGGCGACCGCCTTGAGCACGACCACCGGATCTTCGGCGCTCGCTTCCACCAGCTTTCCGTACTTGGACGACGGTAACGGGAACGCCTTCTTGCCCTTGTCAGAGCAGCGCTGCTTCTTTGGAGGCGGCTTGACTTCAGAAGAGTCGCTGCTGGCCTATCGCTTCGACGATTTTGCCGACGACTTCTTGGACGGCTTCTTCGCAGACGAATTCTCCAATGACTTCTTGGGCGGCTTCTTGGATGAAGAGGCTGACTTCTTGCCCGACGAGGGTTTCGCGGTCGACGCCGCCGAAGACACGGCAGGCGCTGTAACCGGAACGCTGGTTCCAGCCGGCGCTGGTACTACGACGACAGTGCCCGACAGTGACGCTCCCGCCTTGCCGTCTATGACGTCCTCTGCAAGCTGGTCCTACGACGGAATGCCAGTAGTTAGGCCGTTGCCGCCCAGGTGAGATCGCATCTCGGCCCAGAACTGTTGCTTCAGCAACGTCTTGGCGTCCTCTCCGGGCGTGCCGTGCTCGTCTCTGTCGAAAGCTTCCTCCAGGAAGGCCCGCAAGCGCGTCTTCTCCTTTGCAGTAAGGCGGGACGACATCGGCGTTGTGCTGGATACGAGGGGAAACGGAAACTGAAGGGTTTCACGGACCCCGACATTAGTGGCTGGTAAAGGACACGTGCGTGAGACGTTTCCTGGGAACGGGCGCTGATGGGGAACCCTCGACAGTTTCCGACTCGGAAGAATCTGACGCCATCTAGGACGCCTCATGGACGGGTCGGACGTGCGAGGTCCCAACGGTTCTTTCATTCGAGAATTTGCAAGATGACGGCGAGCTGGTCGCCGTGGGGCACGCTAACGGGTTGGGCGCTGGCTGCCGGCAACGTCAGCGAGGTAACGCTGTTGAGAGGTGCCGTGGTAGGAGTAATTGGCTGGGTTGTGACTACGCCACTACGCCGAGTCGCGTGGGCTTTCTCGGATAGTATGCTGGAGGCGTGTTCGTCTGCGTATTTCTTTGTCTACACGTGTGGTGACCGGTACTTGAAGACGGTCCGGGGTGAAGAAGCCCTGGTGCTACCTCCGCGTGCGTATGTTTGGGCACTGGTGACACTCTCGTTCCTGATACCTATCGCGGGCCTACGGGACGTTGAAGCTCGGTTCGGCATCGTGGGACGCCTAGTGCTGAAATGGAACGAGGCACTCTATCACACTTGCTGCGTCTTTATCCCCACCTTCTGTAAGTAAACTGGAGCGCTAGTTGTCGATATTTACGAGCAATTTATGAAGCTACGATCGCGGGTCTGGAGCATGCGAGTGATTTTGTGATTGGTTTTTACCTGTTGGTGTCGCTGCTACTGGCTGCAGTAGTTTACATGCCTCGGCTGGCGTATGAAGGTGTCGAAGGCGTGTTGTGTGGATGGATGGGTGTCGCTTTGCTGGTGCTACTAATGGATATCTACTGGGATTTTGCGAGTGAATGTGTCTTTGGGAAAGCTGCTGTTGTCTCTATCGGCGCCTACAGCCACGCTCGACGCCTGTATAGAAAGCCTCGATCGAGTGGAGTAACTAGTCACGATGTTAAGCGCGATTGGGATGGTCTGGCCCGGCGGATGGCGCGCCAAGAAGAGAGAGAACGTGCCAGTGTCATGCGATTACGGAGAGTGTGTGACAGTGGAGTGAATTCGAGGGACGAAGCCTTGGAAGGTGGCGTTCCCGCTAACAAGGATTTGTCTGTCCCTTCGTCTTCAAATGTCGCCTCCAATGGAACACTCGATGGAGTCGTTCCCACTCTTCATCCGGCCGGTACCGTGCCGCCTGGCTCGGGCGAATCTGCTCGGCGAGGGCACCAAGTCAAATTCGGGGAGAATTGTCACGGTATACGGCAGGATGAGGGACTCGACCTTCTCACCTAAGTATTCAGAAGCTCAACGCGTTTCAGGTGAAGCGGACCACGTCTAACCAACTGGGTCATTCGCCTCCGACGTCGGCGTTCCCGGCATAAAAAGGAGCGCCTGTCGACGGCTGATCTCAAGATCTGCAGTGGACCGCCACGGAGGAGGATCTGTTGAGCGGTAGGGGGCTGCTCTCTCTCGTGGACGTCAAGGAGAGCAGCTGAGTCGTGGTTTTCCTCTTTACCTCACAAGTAACTGAGAAGACAAGCAATATATTTGACTACGTAAAGAGTTCCTACGGTCGGTCTGCAAGATACACGACCCCGATCAAGGAGGAATACCGCGACAGGGTCACGAACATAGAGTTCAAACAATTGCGTGGGCAAATTTGTTGGCAATCATCCTGCGATCCACGATTCTAAAATGCACTTAAAACAACCCTATCAGCTTTGGAAAGAGTTAATAAGAGTTAAATCTTTCCGCACCACCAATCCACACACATTGGGTCTCATTGGCCCTGTTTGTGAACCAATGAAATTAACAAAAAGTCGTTTCTTAGCCAATACTCAATCGTCACGTCGATGACGTGTATCTATCGTTTTATGATCATATTTACCGTTTCAAAACGAAATGTGCGCTAACTACTTATAATAAACAGAAAGTTTTATTGCTATTACAATACGAAGAAACAGAGCAAGAGCCACCGGGATTGATCACCAACTAGTCCGGTGCTGGTGGAGTCACCGTACTGCGGTGTATTTGGAGACGTGGAGCGCGCTTTCGGAAGAAGAGAAGACACGTTTCTTGTGGTGGAGCAGCTTGAAGCCAGGCAAAGCTATGGCTCCGTAAGCAGGTAGAGAAGATGAAGAGAGAGTAAGAAGTTATTTGTAGACGTCAAAAGACGATGTGAGGTAGGTTAGAGCTGACCCACTGCAAGCAGGCTACCTAGCAGCAGACTTAAGATAATTGGTTTTAGGAGAACTACACTGGTACTGACTATTGCATAGTTACATCTTGACTAATAGATTTATTGAGACCTTTTGTATCGGATCATCAGCTTCCAGAGGTAGCTGGTACGATATGACACTATGTAAAGGTGCAACCATTGACAGCCTTCCTCCATCTTTGCATACTTTACACATCACAGAATACATTTAGTATTACAGGTCTGTGAAGATTCTCTTTGCAAACGCCTCAGGCTTCACAGTCGTCAGCCGAGGAATCCCCGAGTTAGCTGCTCCAACTTAGCCCGTTCAGCCTTGCTGTCTGGGAAAACGGACTTCGCGGGCAGGTCATGGTAACGATCTCGAGGACTGCTCGTTTAACAGCATCGGTGCTGGGCAGGCCATCATCAGCGCTGAAAGGCCTGGAGAAACGGAAGCTCGGCACTACAGCCAAGATCCGAGAGCGCAAGGAGAGCCAAGGTCCTGGTGTCGAGGTCAGCGTGGAGGCAGAGTGACCGGTGACCAGAGGGCGTGAGGCCTCGGGGGCCGGGTTGAAAAAGAGGATGATGGCCGCTGGGGTCAAGTCGAAGAAGGATGTTGGTGGCATGCTATCAGAGGCCCTTCGAGCCGCCATGGCCGAGATCACTGTAGCGCCTGCTGATACAACAGCCACAGTGAGTAGTGTAGCGTCGTGCAGCTCGCGCAGTGGCGCTGGAGCGTCGGTGAGTGGGCCGACAGAGCATCTTGCTGCTGCCACGGCAAATTATTCTCATGTCATTTTATCGAGGTACGATAGTGACATGGGCTCAACCTCTTTGCGCCACCGACCAAACCGTACCTCAGATCTTGACGGAGCAGCAGTTTGCATGTTTGATAAAGCCAAACATCACGAAGAGGTAGAGCAGGCGGCTGGTAGAAAGGCCGGGGTTCTCGGAAAGTCCAGATTACTACCACCGACCAGAGTGTCACTGCTAGTGCACAGATACCTTCTGTCACGGGTCTGGCCGCAGCCACCGAACGTGCAGATATTGCCCACCATTCTGGCCACTTTCTGACACCTAACTCGAATCTTATGATGAAATGGATTATCCGATATACGGCAAGTACTACTGCAAGCAAAGTGATGGTCACAGCTGACTATTCAACTACATCAAGGATCTGGAGCGTGGCTCGTATCAATGATCGCCGCGATTCTCCTCGTGATCCAGAGTATCGTGTGTTGTGGGTCAACCGTGTCGACGCTACTATCAGCGCACATGGGAGCCTCGCCTGGAGTTGATGGACGATGATTTCGCTGAGGAGTTGGACATCGTGGATCCCTGGAAGGCTTCCGATGTGGAAAAGTTCAAACACTTCTGGCCTGAGGACGAATACGGTAAGCGTGCAATTGGTGCTGATGATCGAGGCCTATACATGTTCAGTGCATTAAAGCGTGCTGCCGAGCTTGCTCGGCGACCGGACATCGCGGCGCAAGATGATATTGATACATTCGTTGCAGATGAACTCCGATAGCGTGGAGTGGACCTCACACGGGGTACTTCGTGGAAGATAGTCCTTCGGTTCCTGCGTCGACTTAGAGATGCTGTCCGTGATTTTATCTTCAAGGTCATCGACAAAGACAACTTCACCATAGCTGGGCGCTGTGGATCACGTATAGTGGAGGAAGTGCCTCTCCACAACGGACGTTACTTCGTTGTTGCGTACAACCATAGCCTCGTTGGACACGCGATCGGGCTCAGAGTTCAAGGGAAGAAGGGCAAGATCCGACGAATTTTTGACTTGAAGGATCCCAAGCCAGTGCCGTCGGCGATGGATTGGATCCCGTTCGTTCCCTGCATTCGTCCTTTCATTGTCTTCAAGAAGAAAGTAGATGGATAAAAGTCGGTAGAGATTTCCGCGGGTTTGCCTTATCGATACAAGCAAATTGTGTCTGCATGGATGTTGAAAGACATATGCCTATTAAAATTCGGTACAAGACCGGGGAAACCTCGGCGAGGAGAAAACCTTAGTGCGAACAAAAGATAAAACCCAGTGGGAAAAAGGCTAAATGAACGCAATTTAAGTTCGCATGCTACATGCATTAGTGTTATTCTCGTACACTATACGGAATGGCTCATTGTATAGCTTCAAGGGAATGCATCCTGAGCTTGGCCTTTAGTTCTCTGAGCTGGTGCTTGTCTTAAGCCTTGGTAAAGATGTCAGCTATCATTTCTTTCGTATAGCAGTAGGTGACGTTGAATTCATGCCGCTCTACTTTTTCTTGTACAAAACAGTATCGTACGTGTATATGTTTGATCGTCCGTGAAGTTCGGGGTTGTAGCAGACTTTAATGCAGCTCTGATTATTCTCGTACATGGTGTTTTCCTGCGTTGTAGCAAAGCCAAGTTCTTTGAGGAGAAGTTTGAGGAATATCATCTCTTGCATGCAGTGGCATAGGGCGATATATTCTGCCTCTGCTGTAGAGATATCTACAGCATGATGCTTTCGTGAAAGCCATAAGATAGGACTGTCTGTAAGCATTGTCACGTATCCTCCAACAGAGATTCTCGTGTCGGGACAGTTGGCTTAGTCAGGTTCACGGTAGACGGTCAGTTGATTGGCTAGGTTTTCCGAGGTAATATCGGTCGAGCCTCCCAGAAGAAGACCGTATTATTTCGTCCGGATAGATACTTTAGACCACGGATGACTGCTTTTCAGTGATTCCATACCTGGATTTGCTAGGAACTGACTGACCTCTCGCATGTCAAATGCCATGTCGGGTCGAGTCCCGACCATTAAGTACACGATGCTGCCTACGGCTTGGCGACACGGAATCGATTTCATCGCATCTTTCTCTTGCTCTACTGCTAGGCTGGCTGCTTACGGAGAGGGTGGTGCTTCATTCTGCAGGTGCTGCAATAGGGTACGGAATGTAGTCGCTGATCCGGTCAACGACCTTCGTAGCGTACTTGTGCTGGTGGATAAATATCGTTCGATTCTTACGGTCGTGTTAAATGGACCAGCCGAGTAAGTACTTCACCTCCCCTAAATCGGATATAAAAATCGCTTTTATAGGGCTGATTTCAGCTCATTGACGAGTGCTGGTGCTTGCGCAATGATCCGTAAGTCATCGACGCCCACTGCAATGTAACAGGTGGTGTCACCATAGCGCGTCGAAAGACAGATCGATCTTTAATAAGTTTCAGGACCCAAGACTCTCTACGAAGGCTGTCAGGGTTTGGTACCAGACACGAGGCGCTTGCTTCAGCACGTATAAGCTCTTAACTCTTTAAGACCTGAGGTCGATTTTGGCAGGGCCTCCAAAAATGTGATCAATAAGATTACCGTATTTCGCAATTTCTACCAATGACTAATGGTCATTTATTATAGTGGTATCATTCTGGTCGAGTTAGAGTCCCAAACTGGGACTCTTAGAAAATAGATAGACAGGGCACGACAGAAGGGACCGGCAAACGTTCTATAAATGTATATACAGCCAATCGTATGCTTACGCTAGAGACCCTTCCAGGGACTTTAAGGCTTAGGTCCTAAAGGGTTAAGAAGTTTGCACACTGGGTGCTCTTTACCCGGGATTTTGAAACGTTCCGGTTGAACCATGCTCTTTCAAGTAGCCATTTCGGAAGGCGGTCTTAACATCCATTTGGTGAACTTCAAAGTCGAGAAGAGCTGCAATAGTTAGAAGTACTCTTAGTACCTCCATCCTGATGACAGGAATGAATATCTCGTTGTAGTTGATGCCATATTCCTTTGATCACAAGACGCGCTTTAAGGCGGTCAATTTCGCCAGTGCCGGTATACTTGACAACAAAGATCTATCGGCTACTTAAAAGCTTCCTTCCTTTAGGAGGGGATACCAAACACCCAAGTGTGATTGTCCATGAAGGACTAGTATTCCGATTTAGCTGCTTTATGCCACTGGTTAGCTTGTAAAGACTTCATTGCTTCCCGATACGAAGTGGGCTTAGACACATACCTAATAGCTAGTAATTTTTACAGTAAATGTTGATGCTGCTCCTCTTCGTGTATGTCTTTCTCAGAGTTGAGGTTTATGTCATTGGCTTCCTCAGAGCTATCAATGGCTTCCGCAGAGAGGCGGTGTCGCTTAGGAGTTGAATGATGCGGAGGATCAGAGTCCGTCTCCGTTCGAAAAC